GGAAGAAAGGAAAGGAAGGCCTGGCCATTGTTTTCTTATTAAAGATGTTGCTCAATCAGGGACTCAGAAGAACAACAAAATATTCTACAATAAGCCAAAGAGCTTTCATCCATGTTCTGTCTTGATGGATAGGTATTCAGCGTAGGCCAGGCATGTTGAACTCGCGACGTCACATGAGTTTTTCCCCATTGCCAGCAACGGGGTGGGCGTGGTTTCGGTGTGATGCATCCAGCCCGCGGGCTGGTAGTTTGATATTCCTGGCGTAGGCTGATACTGTTATTGTAATTTTTTATATTGCTTCTTGCAGGAGAATCTGTATTTTACAATAATTAGAGATCTGCCCTGTACTCTGGGTGAAGGATTTTTATTGTACTGTATGGATAAATAGATAGCATATTCTGTCTTGGAGGTTAGGGTGGAAAACAGTGGAAGCATTAGGTTATGTTGTGGGAATCAAGTTCTTAGTGTCATTGCCAGAGGAGTAAAGTATAAAACCAGAAGGCTTTGCTACATTTTCTTTTGCTTATCAGTCACGGGATTATACCAACCACCACTGCCAGCAATCATTTTGCCCTTGTATACTTTATTAACAGTCAGTTAGCAAGCTCTGTAGCTAATATGTATTTTTTCACAGCCTTTTTGGAGATGTGATAATTTATAAGTATACATACACGCATACATATTCAGAGGCAAATAAGCCACGAAAAAGGATTTAAAATTATATATGTTTGTGTGTGTGTGTGTGTATTTAAATACTTTGAATGCAGAAACAAATCTGATTCTAAATAATTATTATGAGATATTTCCAAATTACACTTGATATTCCTTAAAATAAATAAATATATATACATATATAATGTATGTATTTGCTTTCTTCTAATAATTGTTGTAGGAAGATATTCATGTGGATGCAGTACTTGTATATTCATTAGGCTGTTATCAGAAGGAATAATTATTCAATAAATTCAAATTGCCAAGGGGTTGTCACAATTAATTTATTTTTATCCCATTTCTCAGATTCTGTTTTAAATGCAAATAGAAAACTAATTCCACTTTGCTGATCTATAATAATTTAGCTTTAGCTGTGTATTCTAAGTGTATTGGCAGACTGTGTTTATTTCTTACTTACAGGCAACAGTAAGCCAGTTTGCAAGATAATCCTAACTTGAATAGAATAAAAAGAACATACTTGGAGTAAAACTGAGATTTGGTGGTGCTTGTGTCATGATGACCAAACTGTGCTATAGCTAACCAGTACCACCCTCTTCACCATTATCAAGGAATATAATATATGGCCACATGTGACTGAAGGCTGTCTAACATTCCCCTCTTATGTCCTTACCTATCATTGTGAACATTTCTCCCTCCTCAGCTTGGTACTTACTCCCTTCATTATGTTTCTTGGATATGATACATGAATTATCTCAGATTTGTATTGAAATAAATAGTTGCACTTGTATCAGAAGCATCGAGGTCCTTCCAGGTTGCGGTCAGAAGAACCGAGGCATTTCCAGATTAAAAGGATTAGCCAATGACATCACCATTGCTCTGGGGACGCCCAACTGGGGACTCCTTTCATGTCCCCGGCAGGAGCTGGAGTGAAGGACGAGAGCTCAACCCTGCCCCACGGCAGCTCTCAGATCTCGAACACGGGCTTGCTAACCTTCTGCCCAGCATTCCAACCACTCGAGCTACCATGCTCCTAGAAATAGTGGTTAGGTTATACTTTGAGGCTGTGGTTTTCACCTAATAATAAGTATATATAATCTGGAATATGTTACACACACACACCTCTACAGAATTAAATAAGTTAGCTGGGTTTCTGAATTTCTCCAGTGGCTGAAACATAGTGTGACTAAAGGGCTTGATCATGGGCACTCCTACTAGCAGAAATCTGTATGTGTGTGACTTTTCTCCATTCCCCATATCCTTTAAATCCTCCAGAGCGCCCAATAATCTGATCTGGAAGACTGCTATGTTCTCTGTAACAATGGGGGGTGGAGGAATTGCAAATGGCACTCTGTCTGTAAGTAGGTTCCTTGGTAACTATTAATGGAAGGATTAGTCTAAGTAAATTAACTGCATTGCAAATCATAAAGCAATAGTTTTCACCTTTACTTCTAAAACCATGTCCTTCACTTTTGAGAAGCACAGTAAAACCATATATTCTAAGGAATGGATTTTTTATTAGAGAGATGTAAAATATAATAAGTGTATTCTTTAATATTTGATAGAAAAATAATTTTACTTCATTACCTGCTAATTATATAAACAATAGGCATGGTTTTTCTCAATTTCAAGGACTTTTTATGCTAATTGCAGTAATGCTGAGATGGTATTTATGCATTAGTGCATCCCATAGTCTCTCTTTTTTACTTTGAAGTCTTCGTGGGGGGAATGAAAATTTCAAGTGATGATAATATGGAAATTATATTCTGGGAGCCCTATTTTTGTATACATTAAGATGGACCTCAGTAAGTGTGTATTCCCTGGGCTTTGCAACACAATTTATTACAGTAAGACTGTAGTCTTTTCTACACCTACCTTAGTATAAATGTTACTGCATTCAGTGGGAGTGTATACAAATATTTCTCCTGGAATGAGACAACACACTGACTTTTAATTTCATTTTCTTTATAGGTTCGCAAGCATGTCAATGACCTGTATGAAGATCTGAGAGATGGACATAACTTGATTTCTCTTTTGGAAGTCCTTTCAGGAGATACTTTAGTGAGTTCCTTAATTTTAATGCAACCTTTTTACAGATTTAATTGATATTTGTTCTTATCTTAGTTCAGCATTTCTTTAATGCATTGTTTCCATAACTGGAAGGTGGGGGGAGAGGGGAGGGATCAGAATGTCTCATAATTAGTAACCTAATATTTTT